GGGAGCGGAGCGCGGCCGGGCGCTGCGCCGAGCTGGTACGTGGCCGGGGTGGGGGCGGCTAGGTGAGGTTAAAGGGTGTCCTTCTCGCCGTTAACGGCCGCTACCGCCGCCTTCCCGCCCTGAAGTTTGTACTTTCCGGCTTTCGCAGTATGAAAACCCCTGGACGATCCCTAATATCCTGTCGATGGCGAGAATGGGTTTGGCGCCGGTTTTAGGCTACTTGATCGTTGAAGAAAACTTCAACGTTGCGCTCGGTGTCTTTGTTTTGGCTGGCATTACGGATCTGGTAGGTTCATGTCGCTTTGGAAACGCGCGGGGGTAGCGTTACGGTGACCCCGTTGGCATGCTCTGAGTTTTAGAGCGCTTACTGTAGAGTGGCGATGACCGAGTTTTAAAAGCGGAGCAGTTCTTGTATTTCCCGTTTTCTAGAAATGCTCTGTAGATCCGATGTGATGGCGCAAAGTGACTCTCGGACACCTAACGGAGGCTGCATGATGGTAGAGCAAAGGGGACGTCTAGGTTCCCCTGACTGTGCGCAAGAGCGAAGACGTTCATACGTGTAAACAGTATTTGCTCATCCAAAGGTCTGTTAGCATATGCGAGGGGTACAAGGAGAACCCCTCATAGCAAGTGACTTGTATGAATTTTAGATGTGCGTTTTGGAAGAGGACTCGTTTTTTTTTTTTTTTTTTTTTTTTTAAATTTTTGACGATTGAATGTGTTCAGAGGCCTCCAGGATCTAGAATGCAATGTGAAAGCATGCTAGAAATATCAGCTACCGAGTATCGTATTTCACTTTGGTTAAGCTAACTGCATTACTTGATGTCGTTCATCAAATATCTTTGTAACAGTAGCGTACAGAAACTATTATTATTCTTGGTTTTCTAACAGGTAAATGTTGAACTCTTGTTTTTTTCAGTTGGATGGATTTATTGCACGGAACTGGGCTAATCAGAAATCAGCTCTGGGAAGTGCTCTTGATCCTCTGGCTGACAAAATTCTCATCAGTGTGCTCTATGTCAGCCTAACTTGTGCAAATCTTATCCCAGGTGAGAAAATGTCCTTACTTGCATGCATTAAGTAAATAAATTAATTTTAGGTAAAATAATATTTCTTGGGTGTCCAGAAGGAAAATTGGCTGTGACTCAGAAGTCTTACTTTGTCAGTTGCACTCTACTTTTGTTTTTTTAAGTATTTAATAGAAGGAAAAAAATGACCCTCCCCCCAAAAGCAACCAACCAAACAAAAAAACATTACTGTAAGCTTCAGTTGTAGTTTTTTTAAAACAATAGTAGTTAGCGGTTATGTCAAAGAGGAATGGTTTTCTCATAGACTGGGTAGTTCTAAGACTTCAGACGAAACCCTTTCAGAAGTCATCTTAAATATCTTCGCTCATGCATAAAACTCATTCACAATAAGTAGAGAGTGATTATTTCTTCTTGCTTCGTGTTTTGCAAGTTTTTGTTATTGTTTTGTTTTTTTTTTAATTGTGGACATGACTTTTCACCGAATTCTTTGGGTTTGTTTGTTTTTTTCAGTTTCACTTACTTCCATGATTATTCTGAGGGATGTAGCGCTCATTGCTGCTGTTTTTTATGTTCGATACAAAACTCTTTCTCCACCGGTAAGTATGTAGCATTAAACAAAATTGCATGGACGTGTAATCAGGTTCTTTTGACTTTGATTAAATCTTCTGTATTTTTACATGTGTACAGATTGAATAAGAAGCAGCATTTAACAAAGTTGAAGCCAAGAGATTTTCCTCATGAGGTGTGATAGTTGCTCAAAACTTGGGTGGATAGTGTAAGATAAAATGTTCTTGTTCTCTTGCCAAATAAATTAGTAGCAGAACAGTTATTTTGTAAAATGGGTTTCATAAAGATGATACAGAGTTACTGATACGTTTTCTTTTTTTCTGTTTGTGTATGATGTCTAACAGATTATGTAAGAGCGGTAGCGGTATAATTCTTTAGTCTTGCAGTTGACTTCTGTTCTGTTCATGTGAAGATGTATCTCAAATTGAATATACTAGAATTGCTTCTTTTTTTTCTTCCCCAACAGAGAACACTCAGTAGGTATTTTAACCCCTGTTATGCTACTGCCCAATTAAAACCAACCTTCATTAGCAAGGTAAGAGTAATAACTCATGACAAAAGCTAATTGTTCACTAGTTGGGGTGGTGTGCCCTTTGGACAGGGGTTTGCTTGCTACTATGAAATATCCTTATTTTGCTGAGTGCAGTTTCAAAATATTCCTAACTAATTTGGAGGCAACTTAAATCCTTAAAGAGCTTCAACAATGTACGCTATCAGAACGTATGCTAATTTTAAGTATGCAGGATGTTTCATTAGAAATGCTTTTTTTATTGTTTTCTTTTTCTGTATACAGATTCTTACTTAAGTAAGAAAAGTGTACATTGGTATTCATTGCAGGGTACGCTTTTTCGTTTTGGTCATATTTCTATTCTTGTGTTTATCAGATGAACACTGCGGTTCATCTAATTTTGGTGGCAGCTTCTTTAGCAGCTCCTGTTTTCAATTACGTGGACAGCATATATCTGCAGACGTTATGGTAATTTCTCCTTCATCTTTTTCAGATAATTTAATGCACTCCTAAAGAAACTGGCAGTTGTGATTAATTCTAATTGTATGGAACAAAAAGCTATGACCAGATGATGTCATAGGGCCATACGGCTTTATTCTTCCAGGTTTATTCTTGACTGACATAGGAGTTAGATATTTACTGGTACTTAATTTACTGTACAAGGAAAAAGTAGTCAAAAAAACTAATCAGAATCCAGGAACAACAGCTGAGAAACAAGTCTTCAGAGTAGACTTGGCAGTATCAAAATGTACATCTATGTTAATACAAAAGAAGAGAGTGGGAAGAAAGCCTGTATAGCTTCGTTATTTTTTCATGCTATACGTGTCCTTGAGAAAGCAATCTTGATACCAGTAAAAATGGACAGGAAGTATTCTCTTATTTTTGCTTTATGAGGTACTTGCTGTCTTGAAAGCTAGATTTCTGAAGCCTCTTTGGAAAGCACCTGAAGAAATCAGTGGTTCCTGCTAGACCGTAGGAAGTGAGGAGGGGATCATATGAAAACAGGCTTACAAAACTGTGCTGCTTTAAATAACGGCCTTTCCTTTTACTGCTGTCATTGAAGATCTTAACAATTAATTGTAGCTGATGGCAGGTGTTGACAAGCTGCATCAACAGTTCTGTAAGGGTTCAGAATAAGGAGGCTGAGCAGCAGATGGCAAAACTATTTAGTAACTTAGTTTAACATAGTGGAAGATCTTGTCTTTTTAAAAAGCAAAGCTTTTAAGGAGCTAGGAACCTTTATCTTAACAGTCAATGTGTTTTTCATCCTTTTGGAAAGCCAAATCTGGAATCGCATCTGTGAAAGACACTTACCTTGCTCCTGCGCTGGGACTCTATGAGAGAGTTAACATATAGTGAGTAATGGAGAAATGCTAGGTGTAACTTACTAGGGTACGCTATAAATACTCTGGGGGAAAAAAAAAAAGTGAAGTGGATGAGTCTGACCGTGTATTCAATGATGGCAGTTGTAATGGAGGGGCAGGATTTAGTAGTAACTCACACCTGAATGGTATAGTCCTTGACACAGAGGAACACTGCTAATTTAGAAGTTCATTCGGTTCTAACCTAGTGCCTGGGAAGGGAACAAAACAGACCAAAGCCAAAACTTTAGCCTTAGCTTTGGAGCTGGTTAAGTAACAATACATTTAAGTCTTGTGTTATTTGAACGGTCCCCTACCTTACTACCAAGGGGTAGTTCACTGGATCGGTCCGTTCTCAGGCTGATAAAAATTGCGTAGGCTACAAATACTGAAACAGAGATCTTTGTCCTCCCTTTTCTCAAGCAAGCGTTCATTTGATTAAAAGTTCAGCCTTGTATGTAATTAAATTAAAGCACACTACAGATCACTGAGTGACAATTCATTTATCTAATCCTCCACTTAGCACCGAATTTCAGTATATAAACTGTAAACTCCATTTCTGTAGTGCACAGTCTCAGAGTGTGTGTGATGAAGAATAGGGAAGACGCTTAAAAATGTAACTTTTCATTGTCATATTTAGACTCAAATGACTTACAGGAATTATTTTCCCCAAAGGTGCATCACAGCTCTCACAACGATATCATCTGCATATAGCTATTACCACTATGGCCGAAAAACGGTTCAGGTGATAAATAACAAATGAAGTATTACTGAAAGGACCGTGTCTTGGCAGCATGGTTTGCTGTACTGCAGAAGATGGTTGTAATGACTGGGTTTTGGATAAAGAACTCTGTTTTTCCCGCTTAAACCATGGCATCACAATGAAATGAAGTTTGAATATGTATTGTGTATATATATAGAGAGAGAGAGAGAGAGACTTTTCAATGTATTTTTAATTTGTTTAAAAATAAGATTGTTTACAAAACCAAATAAATAATATACTTAAAGACAGGTTACTGGTCGCTACCATGTGCATTTGGAATAATTCTTACTGTTTTCAGAAGTTAGAAATAAGCACTTTTCACCAGCTTTTTCTGCAAGGCAGTGAATAGACTGAGATCAGAGTAGAAAAAGCATTTTTCAGAACAACTTTGTCTTTGTGCCTCAACCTAAGTCAGTAAAAGTAGCGTTGCTTGTTAGGACCTATGACCTACTTCAGCTTGCTGCAGAAGACGACGTATCGTCAAGAAATAGTATCTTCAGAAATTTGAACTGGAATGATAGCAAGTTTTATTCATATTCTGTGGTGATACAGATAATCCACATAAGTTACATTCCCTCTTCCTTTCTTTTTAAAGAAGTTAACTGTACTCATCGAAGAAGAGTTTGAGTCTCAGAATGGTTGGCTGTGCCATGATGAGTCTGTACCCAAATTAGATATGGAGGTGTGTTCCTCTTACTAGACTGTTAATTTCTAGTGACTGGAAAAACAACTGTATCTCCAGTTTCTTTAAAGCTTCTAAAGATGCTATTTAATGCTCTTGGAGAAGAAGGACATTTTAAGTATTGTGCAAATTAATGTAAATGTTGGAAGAATCTTACAGATGCACGTCCTGTTAAATTTTTCCTGTACCTCTAACTTCAGAAGGTCTACTGTGATCCCACTCTGACAACTCACTTGCATTCTTTGCCTGTTCTCTACTCACAGAAAGGTACGGAATAAGGAACTAGGCAGAACAGATCATGTTGATCATCATAACTTACATTTTCTATTTTAGAGCCACATGTGATAACTCTTGCGTGTCATAGAAGAGTACAACTATGAAGGGCTTTCATGAAATCAGGTGGTATGCAATACCACTCTATTAGTAGAAGGAAATTTACTGTAGACATCTCTTTTGAGAGCACAGTCTCTTTTGTGACTGTATATGCTTGTATATACAAATCACTTTAATAATTTTTATATTTAAACTTGTACAGAATTGTGCACAGAAAAAATGTTTGATTTTTTTTATTAGTACCTACTTCTTAGCTATCCCCATGTTTTGTGGGCTACCCTGCATCTTACATCAAAGAGATGCGGTGCAAATCCTATGGAGTTTCCTTAAAATAGCTGAGTATTTCATAGAGTTGCATAGTTTCTTCAAGGACACAGTTTAGAATGCAGAGACTTATTGTATCCAGGCAGGTCATTCCTGTTTGGCTGGGCTTTCTGTTTTCTCTTTCTTAAATCACAGATACCTTTGAAACATTGTGTGAAATGGGTGGGGAACGGAAAAATACTGGTGAGTGAAGGATCCACATTGGTGTGTGTTGGCACCTCTGTCATGACTTGTGTTGATGAGAAGTTAAATGTACAATGACTTAGCGGTATATGCCTAAATATTTGTGTTAAATAAAATTCTTCTAGATGGTAGAGCCACTGTTTTTTTTTTTCTTTTTTCTTCTCCCCCACTTACGCATTTGTTCGATACTTGATATTTATTCGCTGTTAGCTGGCTACAGCCCGTCTGCGCTCTACCTTACCCGCTCTCGTTTTAACTGGCTTCCCGCGGTGGTCGGCGCCGCTGCTGCGCGGTTTGTCCCCGCG